AAATATACTAAACATGCTGAGTGAGCAGGCAGCGGTTCAGGGAAAAGGGCAAATGCATGGGATCTATTGAAAAAACCCGGCAGTCCATCTTCAAACTCATCCGTATCCAAAAAGGGGCCACGTGTGACGGCCAGCGCAGCCTGAGAGCCACTGTCACTCAGCACGCACCCCGACAGTGAGAACAATCAGGAGGGTGGAACTGGGACATTTAAAGCTTGAGTTGGTAGTCTCAGGAGACTTCAGTTCCGTTGGAGGTGTCCTGCTGAAAGGGAGGCCTTATCTCACCTGTTCCCCTGGGGGACCCTGCCAAGGCAGACAGGAGGCCAAGACAGTCCGTCAAGCCTCTTTTAAATGTCCAGGTCATGGCATGTCTTCATAAAGTCTAACACCGTTAGCATTAAAAGGAACAGTATTAGGAACCCAAGGAGTTGCTGAGCGTTTCCCGGACGTGCAACTGCTTCAAACTGATGGATCCTTAAACGACCACTAAAAGGTAACAGTCATGCAGCTGGAATGACTGATTGAAACATGCAGGGAGCTTGGTGCCATGACGCCCAGGCGTACAGGCTGCTCAGTGTTCACTGTTCAAGAGACACAATTGTAAGGATCTTTCCTTTTTTATCTTTATAGATCTGAAGATTGCCTGAAAGGAAATTGCCTTTTTTCATAAATAAAAGAGTACAAATATTAATATTAATGCTATAATGTAAAAATAGGTTAATCTGTTTCAGAGGTGTCTGATTTAACTAGACAAGTATAGGTTTTTGGGAGATCTTTGACTGCCCTCTAGTGGCAGGTTCCTTTAATAACAGCTCTTTAGAATTCCTTATTTCCACACTTTAGATCATTAAAAAGATGATTATGATTATACTACATTTCCCCAAGTCGTGTATAATTTGGGCTGAATCTTGACTTGCAGCTTTGGTGCTACTTAATTTCTGTCTAGTTGGCATACAATTTATTCCCCTAAAACATAACCGTCTCTGTTAACCGTGGCTTTGTGCATCTCTGCAAGGCTTATTGATCAACAGCAGCACTAGTGAAGCCTACAGAAACGACACCACAATCCATCATCTATCACAGCTCAGACAGCGCCCTCGTAGCTCAGCACCATGGGACAGATCAATGACTCCTCAGAACCTCAGAACGACGCTCCTGGTTCCGGCTGCTGTGGTTCTACATGATTCTGCTCAGTTTTAAAATCTGTCAATGGTACCGGAACACCGCAACGGCGCAGACTTTACGTCTCTGCGGAAAAGGTCTGTGTGGGTCAGATTACACAGAACGAAGGTTCCTATTGATTTCCGCGTGTCACGGAAAAGCTTCATCAGAATGAACATGGGCAGTCCCTGCTGATGAGAGAGATGGTCAGGTCAGGTGTCTCAGACTGTTAGAATAATGGACCACCAGCCCACTAATGGCAGGAACCCCCCCACGTTCCTATACAGAGGAACAGAGAAGCCCAAAGAGGCTGTAATCAGGAGCCAGAGCTGAAATCTAATTTGCCAGTTCTGCTGAGCTCTGTGGATCGACTGGGTGTTTATTCTGCAGTGCGACACTGGCGGGGGGGGGGGGGGGGCGTCCGATTATCGGAGGCGCACTAGTGCAGAGAACCCTCACACAGGGTCCTGAGGGGGTGCCGGCCGCTTGCCGGGATGGGGGGGACCGAGACAGACATGGGTGGGAGTTGGCAGAGAAGCAGGACTGTCCATCTAGATCTACTGCAGCTGTGGAGCTGAACTCCGTCTAATAACTGAGGCCCAGGAGCCTTGAGAAGCTTCTTCATGCTGATTGACAGACAGGTTCTGTTGCCTCAGGCTTAAACATGGCCGCTGCCAGTCTGGATTACAGACAGATTCACCAGCAGCAGGTATCTGAAGGTACAGCGGCAGGTTCAGATCCCGGGAGGCGACCATCTGACGTTCCCTCGAGAACATTGTTTAGTCTCTACTGTTTCAGTAAAAAAAATTAAAAATCCAGCCACAAAAATTAAAATTGCTAAATTGTGAACTATGTATCCAAGTCGTCTTAGATAAATGCTTCTGCCTTCCTCCTTCTCATCTCCAAGCCGGCGTTGTTTTTGGACTGTGAGACTGAGGTTAAAAAAATTGAGCTTAGTGTTTACAAAGCAGGTTTCTGGTGAAAATCTTTGGAAACAGCTCCAGACGCGCCCTACACGCACTGGAAGCAGACCGTCTTCTACCTAGAGGATTACCTGACCGTCAGACGGGGTGAAGAGATCGTGGGGACCATCGGGATGAAGCCCAACGAGAACAACGTGGTCAGTAGTGTACTGATGCTTTGGGGGAAACGTCACCCTGAGCGTTTATACGACAAATTGTTTAAGGTGGGGGGGCATAAAAGGGACAGAATTCATACTGAAGGGCCAATCTTCTCATCAGCCAATGATATGTTTCGAATTGGTCAGTGACGGGGGACGGCGACTCTGGGGGCCAATCAGCTTTCAGCTGGGGCCAGTGTCCCTGTATCCCCTGCCCCTGTTGCAAGAAATGCATGAACAGCTAGTTGAGATAGCTAGCCATTTTCCACCACTTCTATGTTACTAGTAGATTGAATCATATTTTTGGGAAGAAAAGTGTTGTAATGGATGGTGTTTGTTCTGACATGCCATGGACATTAGGCTAATTATCTAACTCTTCAGGTGTCCCTCATTATCTTCCCATAAATCGTACCCACCCAGCTAGCAGGGAACGTTCCTAGAACTTTAGCTCACCTTATTTACAGGTCCTCTCAAAGTTGCCTGAGATCGTTCTTACTGTAACTAAATGGAACATTATTTCCACATTTTAACAAAGGTTCTGTCAGTGTCAGTTTATATTTTTTTAGCCTTAGTTTCAGGAGTAGTTGTAATAGTGTGATAATGTTTTGAGAATAACAGGAAAACTGGACACTTTGAACGTTTTCTCATAGTTTAAGTGTAACGGTCCTAGAGGTGTTCCTGGTGTTAGCTGGGCATGGTCACACACTGAATGGACAGAAGGAAAACTTAAGCGCTAGCAAACAAACGTGAGTAGTGATTTTGGCCTTGCTTTCCCGCAGCGTGACCTGGACTTCACCATTGAGCTCGAGTTCAAGGGACAGCTGTGCGAAGCCTCCATCGCCCACGACTACAGGATGCGCTAGTCTCCAGCAGGGGGCGGTGCTGCATCAGCACAGAGAGGCAGAGGCCCGCGGAAGACAACCCGCGGGGATGTAAGAGGGAGATCTGACCCATCTGCGTGCGGATACTGCAGCATGGAAGCTATCCAAGTACTGCAGCTAGAAAACATAGAGCCAAGACTTAGCAGTCACTTGGAGCAGGAATGTGAATGTGACACACCTATTTAAGAAAGTTATCTTTAGCTGTGAATGTTATTAGTACTGGGGAAATGAATGAGCGAGTGAGCAGGGTGACGGAGGCGGTTACAGCTCTTAGGAAACAGGCAGCAATGGTATGTTTTTGTATTTAGTTATAACTAGAATATTGAAATATTAACAAATAGCTGCTATTAATTATTATTATATACATATATAATAAATAATAATAAATGAATATGCCTGCTGAATTTTTTTATATGTACTTGGAAATTAAATAAACTTAATTATGTAGAATATTATAATTACAGAACAAAATTTAAAAATATATGGGATTTACAGAAATTGGTGGTAATTTAAGACAACTGCAGATCAACAAGCCAGTGCAATAAGTATTTAAATGATGTGATTTCTGCTGGACCTGGTGCGGTAATATAACATTTTGTCAAACATAGATGGTTTTTGGGTGCCCAGAATGTAGTATTGAAACCTGCACAGTCTGAGTACCCTAAAGCACACAGGCTCTTTGGACAGTGAAACAGGCTTCAGTGTGTTACAATGTGTCAGCATCTACTTAGTATGCATGATAAGGAAAATCGAGTGGCACTTACTTCAAGCTTTGAAACCATGATTGTCCCAGGGAGGCTGCCATACCTCCTTTAAGTGAACTCCTCCCACTGTCCCATGTGACTGTGTGGGAGGGGCCACTCTGGTTCTGCGCTGCCCCTATTGGACGGGTCCTGGGGTCTGGGCCTGGAGATGCAGCTCCTCCTCCTCACATGTGCCCTTACCAAGGACATCGCCGAGGCGACGGCTGTGAAGCTCTCTTACCAAAGACATCCGGGTGAGTGGCAAACAACACTCTGCCTTTTATGAATATATTTCATGAGCTGTCATGAATACTGAGAAGCAGTTAGACAAGCAGCTATTTCCCTGCATCTTTTCAGTGAGAATCAAACCTGCATCATTTTTACTGTAAAATAATATTCAATATCTCCGGCCTTCATTGGGAGTCAAGGTTGATGTGATGTCTTTGATATTAAAGACCTTTCCACTAAACAGGACAGTGCAGATCGCAGTTCACATGTAGAATGTCTTTTAGCTCAGTTTTGTTATATATTTACCTCTGTATTAAATTTTCCCCTAAACTCAGTATGCTCACTTTCAGCATTGGTAAGAGCCACATGAATAAAAGTTGTATTGACTTTAATTTAAAGTCTTTATATTTTTATTGAGGTGTAAAGAAACTGTACTTAAATAATAGCACGTTCATGTAATATTTATAATGATGTCAATGTTATAGAAGAATAAATAGATTCCAAATGATAAAGTTCGGGTAATTAAATTTTTTATACATTAACAATATTTTATGCATAATTTAGCCATTCATACGCAGAGCTTCAGTCTCAAGGTGCTACTAAGTTACTAGAGCTCCCTCTGTCAAAACCAATCGGCTATACAAACCGGGGTTGCTATTTCCCATGTTGCCCACTGGGGGGCAGTCTGAAACCACAGCAGGTCGTCAGACGAAACAGCACACAAAAATAGCACAGAACCTCAGAGATGCTTTTATCATGTGTTTGATCGACATTATGTACTGGTGAGAACATTCCACACATATTAAAACCATTCCTTTGTAGAATTCCTTAACCAAGTTATAGCAGACGGACGACACAAAAACAAGGTTCTGTCAGAGACCTCTTTACTGGTATCAAAGAGAACATCACAAAACAATAAAAGGTACAAAAATGCACACTTTCATTGCAAACAGCTCGATTTACAACCAAACAAGCGTGTCCGATCTCCCCTCAGCTCACAACATAGTACAGCTGCAATGTGTGTTTGTGTGAAAATGACACACCAGGCCACCAGAGCTTCTCTGCAGTAAGATCAGCTTTGGTCGGCTGGCCACGCATCACCGTTACATTAGCGAGCCCCGGTACAGCCAACACACCTCAGCTGCTAAGGTCTACTGAGAACCGGCAGCCACTGTGACCCATGCAGATGTATTCTGATTCATTTGAGAAATACTCAAAGTCATTAAGTACATTTACAACAGTCTTTAAAAGTCTCTGGCATTTTGTCCTCAGGTCTTGTACCCAGTGACGTTAAACTAAGAAAACAGAACCACAAAGCAAAGCTTTACTGCAACAAGAATGGATGAATCACGTTACAGACAGCGAGTGACATGGAGTGATTTTAGTTAATACGCAGAGGTTTAAATAAATATCGACATGTGATACTAGCCTTCATTTACGGACTGAGATCATTCTTAGTAAAAGTACAGACAAATACATTCAAATACGCTGTATATATAAATAAAACTCTAATATATAAATATTTGAAATACCTACTATAGTGTACTTACCAGAGTACTTAATTTGGGCGAACCAGGGCCATTGTATAAATGATCACCATTTATTCATGACAGCTGTGTCACGATAGTGCTAAACTATCCAAAGAGTTCACGCTTGTGCACTTGGGGATGAAGAATAATTGTCTCTAGTGCTGACACAACCGTTAATTATAACTGTGATGCCTGTAATGATAGTTACTTTATGCTCTTTAAGTTTAATTTACCGTTGTTCCTTCATTTACAAACGTGAATAAAAATAATTTACTTCAGAAAAAAGCATCTTTTTAGTTTATACTGAAACGATACTTCGAGAAATGGGTGGAGAAAATTTGATCAAATGTCTATTTTTAACTGGACTGATCAGCGACGTTCATATTACTGCACACAGCTGTGGCCAGCCTATTGACTACAACACTCAGGATTGCAGTGTTTTTAATAGAAAGAACTAAATCCAGAAGTGTCAATTTCAGGTGTCCTTTCACATCAACTGCCATTACGGCATGAATGGATGTTTTCACCGGCTGTCTGGCTCTCCCACCTCTGAACTCTTCCTTGTCCTAACAGCAGGACTTTTTCCTCGTGGTTGGTGGGCTGTGAGCCAGCTGGATGGTCCTCTCCTTCTCCTCGTCTTCCTGCTCCTTCAGAACCCTGACACACAAACCCGAAAGACAACTGTGAGGTTACGATGCTTCCGGGACAGCATTTAGGCATGATAAGACTCTGTCTCTGATTGGCCGCTGCTCCTAGGAACTAAACGGCTTCGATGGCAGCAGGAACGTGGAGAAAGGGTCCCCCCCCCCCCCAAAAGTGGACTCAGCCGATCTCTTCATTCTGCCTGAACATCAAGCCCACTGTAGGATTAGCAGCATGCAGGAACACATCCACCATAGGCTATAGCAACAGAGCGGAGGAACCCAAAGCGATTATGTTTACCTCACAGACATTGTGTACCGGATCAGCACCAGAAATAATTCTGCTTATTTCTCCTAATTCTGGCAAATTCCAAATCCACTGGACTTTCTCCCAGCCCTTATTAAACTCTCCTCAGACTCACACAGCCTTATATAACAATTTTAATAAGTTTATGCTAAGCTATTTTTTCCTGATTAAGTATCTCGACCATTGGTTAGGCAATGACAATATCCAAATGAAAACCTTTATGAAAATATCGCCATAAATCACCGGCAGAAACCCTGAGTAATTCCATTATTTTCACACACATGACTGAAACAGTAATTATACTTCCATGCCTGTGTTGGCAATGAAGAATCACTATATTCATTGAGATCCTACTAAAATATTGGTTCAGGTCCAATTAGATAACCACTTTATTATTATCCCATAATGCTTTTGAGACGTGACACAATGTCTGATGCAGTAGGAGTCACTCACCTTGCCAGATGGAGCATGGCTTCAGTCACATTTTGGCCTGAGAAAGCACTGCACTCATAGAAGATCAGCTGGGAGTCCTACAGACGGCACAAGCACATCTCAAGGGACATGACAGCTGGGAGTCCTACAGAGCAACAGTCAGACAGCTGGAAGTCCTATAAAGGCCAAGGCTACAAAGCAACAGTCAGAGAGCTGGGAGTCCTACAGAGCAACAGTCAGACAGCTGGGAGTCCTACAGAGCAACAGTCAGAGAGCTGGGAGTCCTACAGAGCAAAAGTCAGACAGCTGGAAGTCCTATAAAGGCCAAGGCTACAGAGCAACAACCAGACAGCTGGGAGTCCTACAGAGCAACAGTCAGAGAGCTGGGAGACCAACAGTAGAAAGCTGTAAACAGGTCACAGGCAGAATTGGTCAATGGCAGGCAGGCTCTTCAGCATAAGAGTATCTCAACAAGTCTCAGCTAATGGCATAAGAGCAGCATAAATGGACCCTTGCAGAACAGAAGGTCTTGCTTAGACATCCATCTCCATAGAAACGACACCTAATAAAACGAAAAACCCAAGGCAAGGGGCATTGCATCCCTCTGTGGGACTCATATAAATGCTTTGCTAAGACCCCCCATTCATTTTTTCCCCAGTACTCTAATTCATACAGAAAATGGTGCTTGGTTCAGTAATGATGTCATAGCCAGACCATTAGCATCACTCAGAGAAAACCAGTCCCCAACCTTAGCCAGCTTTTCCCCGACTTGCACTGGGACTTCCCTCGCACTCTCCATGTCGAGCTTGTTCCCAAGGAGCATGATGGGAATGTCTCCTCCTGCACTGTCCTGTGAAGAGAGCCACAAATGTAGAGAATGCCAGAAGCTGATGTCGCCGTCTCAAGACCGCCCCCTTCAGTCAGTTGTATGTTAGTGATATTTGCCATGTTTAACTGTGTAATAAAGAGGTTTTCTCTTATGGAAAGTGACATGGAAGTGTAACATGGAAGCCTGAAACTGCTGGACGAATTCAAAGAAGCCAAGGCAGAAGGGCTTCCCGGCCCACCTGAACGCTGGCGAGCCACTGTCTGACAGCCAAGAAGGTCTGTTGGGAGGTGATATCGTACATGACGATGACGCCGTCGGCCTTGCGGAAGAACTGCTTGGTTATGCTTCGGTACCTGGGTCGAGTCACGTGAAATGAAACTGCGTTTCAGCAGAGCATTGAAATGGGGACAACAAGGACAACTGAACAGCAAACACTACATATATAAAAATCACAACAGTACACAACAAAGAGTTAAAGATGGGGCTTCAGGCATAACAGATCTTAACTGAAGCCAGCAGGGGGTATGACAGGTGAGACAGGAGTCCCTAGAACGCTGAGTCGCCTGCCTGCATGGCCCTGAGGGGCCGGCTTTAGCCAGGGTGCCGTAACGGCTAAAAGGAAACAGCACAGCCAGACAGACCATCAGCATACGGTGTGTGGACACGCCGGCCTCACCTCTCCTGCCCGGCTGTGTCCCACATCTGCAGCGCCACCTGGCTGTTGTCCATGGTTACTGTTTTCACACTGTAATCGATTCCTGTTAAGAACACACCCAGTCATCGTAAAACAGAACCAACAAGAACAGTTTTTTCTTCATGAGCTTAAATAAATGCCTAATTTATAGCATAAAACCCAAAGCCTATATCCTGGGCTCTATAGCAGTGCTTCCCAACCTGCTCCTCAGACAGACAGTCCACATTTTTGCTCCCTCTCAGCTCCCTGTCAGACAGTCCACATTTTTGCTCCCTCCCAGCTCCCTGTCAGACAGTCCACATTTTTGCTCCCTCCCAGCTCCCTGTCAGACAGTCTGCATTTCAGGGAGCTGGGAGGGAGCAAAAACGTAGAGTATCTGCAGGTCCCCGAGAACCGGGTTGGGAAGCCCTGCTCTATAGCATCCTCTTCTCCCAAGATTCCAACCTAGATGACTAGATACATCACCTCACCTGGTGCACTGTTATAATTTTTTACAAGTTATTTTCAAGATCTAGCTTCTTTTCATGATGTCATATCAAACATTTGCTTCTTCTGGAGCATGACAGGGTGAGAAAAAGCTATATTATATGTACCAAATAATATACCTAAAATATTAAATATTTATGAAACATAAAATATACATCTATAAATATAAATGGCGCAAATGGGACATTCATAAACAATAAAACAGCAGTGGGGGGGGGGGTAGGTCTCCACAGGGGGGTCATTAATGATTCCCCATCACAGTAGAGGCCCTTTTCCGCCCCACATTGCCTCTCCATTACAGCGTTGGAGACTGATGCTTTTTCTGGGTGGAGAGTTCATCAAAAGCCCAGTCTGCCCCAGAACAGGGAATATCTGGCCGCCTTTCACCCATCAATCTGTCATCCGCATCCCGCTTTGCACAGGTCATGGGACATTTGGGGGTAGCTGCACACCTATGGTGGCGGAGGTCCCTGGGAGGAAGGAGTGGTCACAGAAACGCTGAAGCACTGAGGTCTTGCCCACACTCGAGTTCCCCACAACGACAACCTTGAAGAGGCGGTCGGGGCTGGAGATGGTGGCTTCTATCTAGAGATGTAGAAAGGATGGAGATCAGATGTAGCCTCTTTGTGACTTGGGATTTATATAGAGACCAATTCATAGACATGAGAAGTCATACGGTCAGGTAGAGAAACGTTCCGTACTGTGTCCTCACTGTCAAACACATCTCAGATCCACTATGAAATGCATGCACTAGAGTGAACTTCCCTCCAGAACTCTGATGTAACGCATTCAGTTTTCACGGACTGAAAGGGAAACCTTCTTCCCACCAGTGAGCAGGGGAAGCCAAGGGAGACAGAGCAAGGCAGCCTAATCTCCGTCTGAAAATGTTGATGGGCCAACAGCAGAAGGTTTTGAAGGATCCTGAATGCCAAAAGGAGGTGAAAAGACGAAGGACCCCCCCTCCACCCCCCGTGAGGCATTGATGAGCACAATCATGCTGAGATGAGTTGTCAATTTCAACTCAAACGTCCACTTCTGAATCCTCCACACGGACCACGTGGTTGGGCTGGTCTTACCCGTGTGTTGGTCTCCCTGCCCACAGGCTGCTCCCTGGGGGATGGGGGGGGGGTCTGCTTGCTGGATGAAGGAGCCCTGTCATTAGCAGGTGCCACGTCCTGGATGGTGGAGCCCCGAGTGACGGCGTAGATGTTACTTATTTCCAGGTCAGTAGGCTCTGCTTCTTCCTCCACGCTCCATTGGTTGGCGGGGGGCTGGGGCAGAGGGTCCTCCTCCATAGATATCACCCTCTGGAGCAGCAGGTTGTCCATGGGAGGGGCCCCATCTGGCCTGACAGGATGCCCATGGCCGTTCAGGCCCAAGATGGACTTCCTGTTGCTGCGTTTGGGGGTGTCCACATTGTCTTCACTAGGTTGCATGCAAAAAAATAAATAAATCATAATATGACTGAACAATGACATTTCAGATAGAAATATCTAAATAAATATCAAAAAAATAAATTCCCATGGCTTACTGCCCATCATCATGTGAAACGATGCAGTTTGACCAATATGGCCTCCTATACTGTAAGCTTCACACTTACGACATAGATAACTAATATACGCAGATGCTGAATTGCAATCTGACATCTCAATCTAGTTTTAAATGACTCAGCTATGTATCTTATTATAACCTCGCCTTGATAATGTAAGTAATGATTTGTTTGACATAATCTCTATTTTTGATAATGGAGTAATATTCTGCATTAAAGGAACAGGAACAGCAGAGATGCAGTAAAGCGTGTTAGAGGTCGTCCCAAATCGTTGTGCCTGCGGAGCAGCGCTTTTCGAGGGAGACGCCCTTTCTGCTCAAGCCGCGCACCTCCCCAGCATCTCCTCCGCAAACTTCAGACCCACTGCTCCACATCTCTGGTTCTGGAAGGGGCGTAGGATTGGGGGAGAATTCCTGGGTTTCTGAAGACAAATCGATTAAGTGTTAATCTCCTGACCCGGTTCTGGGACGAGATAGGGATCGGCTTGGATCTGGCTCTGTCTCCTTGGAGACGCTTCCACATTAAAGTATTCTACACGATAACATCATCCCCATGTAATTGCAAAGGACACAAAGAGAAATACCAAGTATTACAATATTACTGTAGATCAGGGTTGGGGTAATTCCGGAATGCATTCATCAATTCCAATCCAAATCAGAAAGGGGAACTTTGAAATTTGAATTAAATTCCAATTCTTTTCCACCATAGTTTTTTCCCAATCCTAACTCCAGTGCCATTTCCTGATCTGGACTGGAATTGATGAATACATTCCGGACTATCTACAGCAGAGTTGGGGCTGTTAATACAGCAAAATTAATTATAAACTATATCTTAAGAAACGAGACATTTTTATAAATAAAAAATAACATCTACTTTTCCAGTTGCACAATTATAACTACGCGTAACGTGCACATTTCTTCTCACTGCACATCTCATTTGGGGCAAAAACAACTTACTAGGTAACAGATGTCTCTCTCATCTCGTAAATGTTTATTCGTTTCCCTGGAAGAGAAAAGTCAGTAAGGATAAGAGACAGCCTGACGAAGGCAGTGTGCAGGCCGCCCTGTGCTGCCCCTTCTACCTCAGCAGGTCCAGCTGCTTCAGGAGGCCTGCCCTGTCCCGCTGCAGGCCCTCCGTCAGCCTGTACATCTCCCTGTCAGCCAACGACACAAGCAGAGGGCAGGAGCTGAAAGGTCGTAATCTGACCCACGGCTGTGAAGGATGAGCGGATATTTTTTCTAGCTTTATATTTTAACTTGTCTTTACTGCATCCCAAATTGCAAAGAAGTGACATTTCATGGCTGCCACGTGGGGCACGGTACACAGATGTCTGTGTGCATGTGTCCTTACAAGAAGTGACAAAGAATCTTGAATTTCGCACCCTATACCTACAGAATCCCCTTCTTGCGAAGAGTAAAATCACCTTTGGCCATTTGGTAAATTAATTACAGTATAATCCCGTTATAGTGGACTCGCTTATAACGGAATATCGTGTATAACGGACGAGATCCGCTGGTCCCGGCCATGCACCTTCACGAACATGAAGAAAAACCATCGGATATAGCGGACTCGCATATAACGGAATTTTGCTTATAACAGACAAACAATTTGGTCCCCAGGGCTACTTTTAGCTGTAGTTCTGTCCGGCTATAACGGACATGCAATTCCGCCTACAAGGCATGTGGCGTGCCGGTGATATCCAGCGCAGATACATGCGTAGTCGGGATTATTAATAGTCACGCATCTGGTCAGGTAAAGTTGGATTACTACATGTACAATATAATGATCTATACCACAAGTGTGTCTGCTGAGGTGTGGCATGAGTAAATGGTGTCCTGTAGTTGTGTTCTGGCCTTACAGCAACTCTGGATATAACGGACTTTGGGTAAAACGGACTGTTTTGCCAGATCCCTTAAAGTCCGTTATAACGGGATTGTACTGAAGTCAGTAATTCATAGCTAACTGTATGACTTGGTGCCATATACCGGCAGGGTAGAAACATGATTGGCAGGGAGAAAGGGGCTGTTTCACATGATTGGTGGAGAGAAAGGGGTGTTTCACATGATTGAGTGGGAGAAAGCAGGATCTTTCACGTGATTGGCTGTGGATGGGGACTCACATCTCTCGCTCCTCCTGCAGCCGTGTCGCCTCCTGCTGAAGCATCTCCAGCTGCTCCTGTGCCAGGCTCAGCTCCTTGGACGTGTGCACCAACTCACATGCCAGCTGCTCATTGGTCGTCTTCAGCTTCACATTCTCCACACGCGTCTCCTCCTGCTCGCCGTGGAGCTCCTGGCACTCCCGCTCCAGCTGTGCACACGGACGACCCCCGGCCCAGTTACACCAATCGAAATGTGCCCAGCAGCAGCAACGGAAGCCTTTTAATGCATCTCATTTACCAAGGATTCTGGGTGAATTTGCACACTAATCACAATTTTAAGATAAGTAATAAAAAAGTTTTATTGGAGCTTCTTTTTAAGGAGAACAATGACTTGAATTTACCACTAAGAATCAAAATAAAATGGTTTATTAATATTATTATACGAATTTGGGACTACAAGTGTGCTTTTGTGTGACTGTCCTAACTACAGGTGTTTCTCAGAGTACTTTCGCCATGGAGGTTCACATGACCAATCGGCATGCTGGGAGAGAGCAGGCTGGCTATGCCCCGCCCCTCCCCCAAGTCCTTTAACAGGGCTGTTTCAAACCATGGTCCTCAAGAGCCAAGCACTGCTGGTTTTCCAGCCTTCCTTTACCTGTCAGTCAGGTGTGAAACCTCTGGCCAATCAGAATCAGTAATTATTAAACTACCTGGAGGAACTGAAAACAAGGCCTGGATTTGGAATCGAAGGCCGGATTTGAAGAGAGGGGCCCTAGAAGGTCATCTAATGCTATGATCTGATTGTCCACTTGTCCACTCACTCGCTCACTATATAGTGTTTGCTACATAGAACACTTCTTGGGGATAAGGGCAGACAGCGGTTCCTACTGTACATTTCAGACACTAGGTCAATGTTATGCTGCTACATAATAATATGCTGAATATTCATAATTGTCATCTCTGTCACATAAACAAATGCGACAAACATCAGCAAACCAACGGTGCAATTTTTTAAATAAGTACATTCTCTATTTCACATACGTTTTCAAAATGTTGAAATAAAAATAAAGTAAAACTTTACAACACAAATCTGTGCGCACATAACTTTATTTACAACACAGTTGACTGCACTGTATCTATGCAAGCATGTCTGTAAACACCAGGCTGCTTTGCACGGAGAATGCACTAGGCTGTTCACATATACCCTTCGATTAGACACAACACAAAAACTCTGACATCAACGGGCCCAAAATGTAAACAGCAATAACTTAAATGCAAATTATTAATCATCACACAGGGGTAGGTTTAATACTTTATTGGTGTCATCAGATATTCTCCATTATATTTGATGGTTCCTATTCTTCTTCTATACCTCACGCTACAGACCACAATGCATGATGGTCTAAGTCAGCCAATGTAGGATAAAGCTTCGGTATATTACTTTTTGGTGGACTTTGAGAATTTTGTAGTGCACTACTATAACAACTACAGTTCAGAATTTGAACAACACTACAAAAGAATGATTATTACATGAATGCAATAATCAACCACGGTCTGAATGATAATTTAAATTTGAAAGAGTAACCCTAACCATCCACAACCAGGATGGCCAGAGGCTTGTAGACGGAGGCTTCTGGAAGCTTTCTGTGACTTTGCTGCAATGGCATGGTTGCCCGGGGAACACAGGAGACACATCACTCACCCTCCGTTGCTTCTGCACCAGCTGCTCCAGCTCCAACTCCTTGCTGGAGAGTCTCTGCTCCAGGTTCTGACTTCGGTGCAAGAAGTGTTCAGAGTCCTGGGGTGGGGGGGGGGCACAGAGGGAGTGGGCAGAGAGCAATTATATGGGGCATCATGGGGGGTCACCGACACAGCACAGACAACTGCGGCGTGGACCTGGACCTGGTGGAGGATGCGGTCCTTCTCAGTTTTGATTTGATGTTCCATCTCCTCATACAGCTGCTGAAGTTCATCGTTATGAGTGGCTGCTTTCCTGCGGAGATGCCGAATTCCAGATTACTTTACGGAGATGAAAGATGGGCAGAAGGAGCAGGCAACCACAACGCCTCATTTGGTCTCCTGAACTCTCACACTTTGTACCTCTGAGGGTACAATTTCTTGTCACTGGGACTGTACCCTTAAGGGTCTGCCAATTGAACCCTATCAGTGGGCAAATGTACCTCTTAAGGCACAGAAATGGACTCTGAGGGTGGTGATACACAGGGCAAATTTTTCAGCAATATTGCTTGGACAATTTTCCATTGATATTGGGCAACAAATTTCTATTTGAAAGACTTAGATTGACAGTGGGCAACATTTCGCGATCATCCAGATTCGGATGAGTTGCCCTTTGTCTCACCTCACTGCCTGGCAACATTGCTCATAAAGTTGCCCTGTGTGTCATCAGCTTTAGAACATCTTTGTACCATTGGGGATACATTCATGTTGCTTGTACCTTGGAGAACAAAAACTGTCCTAGAGCTGTACCTTTTTCTGATAGTGCAGGTTTCAGAGGCATAACACTGGTAGAATATTTTGGCAGCAACAGGAAGTTTAAAAACCGCAAGGAACTCTATTATTTAAGTGACTCAACAAATCAGTCTTTCGAACATTCACTGAAGCATATTAAGAGCAAAGGGAACAGCAAAGGAATTAGTGGTCTTGTGAATGTCACACATTTTGGAGAAAGTCATGGATTCCCACAGATTAACTGGTCATGCCAAAAAGACTTAGGCCGAATTCTGTAGATCATTACCTAAATACTCTTAGGAGCCTTCAGTTTGCTTGGTAATGAGAGAGGCCGGCCGGCCAGCATCTACCGGTAAACAGGTCACTGAGAAAGAGCAGTAATGACACAGTCTCCATCCCCCATGGGACTCTGCCTAATGCTACAGACTCCTGCGTATGGTTAACTCCAAAAATATTTTTTCGGTATTATTAACAGAAGAGCTGTAAGAGTTTCAGGGCCCTGTTATCTGATAACTATCCACTTGCATGAAGTCATTTTAAGCTGAAATTGCCCAATGCTTACTAGTCTACTTCTCTGTCTGAGAACCACGTCCTCCTTCTCGTGAAATATATCATGTGTTTTCTTGATGAGGCCAAATGCACCAAACCCCACACACATGGTTCTTGGCTTGGAAAACAAAGCCAATGTTGATTCTGCAAGTTGAGTACTTCCTGTTTTCTATCAAAGCATCATGTAGCAACAGCTTAAAACATTCTATCCAATGGGATGCTGCTATGGAACCCGGGCCACACTAACTTCCTATTGGCTGAGAGCTGCTGAAGGACAGCATGACCCCAAGGTACTCCAAGCACCTACCTCTGCAGGGCGCTTTCCATCTCCCGCTTTTCTTGGTTGGCTTCCTTGAGTTGGACAGTAACTCTGGCCAGGAACTCCTCGAAGTTGGACAGGAGGTGCGGCTCGTCGTGGCGGAGCCGAGTCCAGAGGCTACGCACATCGGAGAAGCTGGAGAGAGCAGAGAGAAAGTGGCTCAGTCTGAAGCACGATGTTAAGAATGAAGAAGAAGAGACAATGAAACACCGGCAAAGGCCTGAGAGGTTCACAGCACACTGACGCTGCTTTTAACACTTACTGTTTTGATATTGGTTACATTTACCAGGAGTGACTAATGCTCATCTAAAAGCAGGTCTAAAGGAAACTGGGAGATATACAGGGATAGTTAATTACTCAGAATATAACTCCAATGATTAACAAAATACCTTTTATACATTTAATATATAAAAATTTAAAAATGTACACACTTAACCACTAACCAGGAAACCAGAGTCAAAACAGCCATTCCTCTGGACGCTTTTTACTCCACAACACAATCCTCCATCATGAAACATAGCGTGCAGCATGAAACAGATCGACGACCATGGCGGAAGAATTTAAATCAATGAACGATGATCTAATGTCTTTGGGATGTTTCTGCAAGCTAAGCTGGGCCGTCCAGAGTGAGCAGGGGTCAATAGGATTGATCTGTCATTCCTCACTAATCTACACTGAACAAAAGCAGCTTTTGAAGGGGAACTCAATCATGTGCTGTAAAATATTTAGGGAAGAAAAGTCCTGCGTACTCAGAATTGATCAGCCCTGGTTTTCCTTTGGTACTGAGAGAGAGACCCAGGTGGCCTAACCTTTAAAGGTCAAAAGCCAGCGCTAAGGGTTCAAGCACTCCTCAGTCCTGGGGCAGGGGGCAGGACAAACAAGCAGTAGGCTTCCATCCATCCATGCTTACTCCTCAAAAACGTTGCTAGCCCCCAGGTTCTCCAGGAGGAGGCCGAAGCTCTTCTCTTCTTCTTCATCGCTGTCTGCCAACGTCTGCTCACCCTGGTGCTGGTAAAGCAGGTCTTTGGTGGAGACCCGGCGCCCAAACAGGAACTCACCTGGGAGGTCGACATGCCAAGTGTCTGTCACCCGCATAAACTGATGTAGTCATTCTTATTATTGATGACGGGCCTGGTTGCACCTTATATATGCTGCTGCAGGTCTAGTTCCTGCTACTAAGCTACAATGAAAACTTTTTGCTTTAAATATTAGTTTCTTCAAAATAGCCACCATTTGCTCTGATTACTGCTTTGCACACTCTTGGCATTCTCTCGATGAGCTTCAAGAGGTAGTCACCTGAAATGGTTTTCCAACAGTCTTGAAGGAGTTCCCAGAGGTGTTTAGCAAAGTAAAGCAGTAGTCAGAGCAAAGGGTGGCTATTTTGAAGAAACTAGAATATAAAATATGTTTTCAGTTATTTCACCTTTTTTGTTACGTACATAACTCCACATGTGTTCATTCATAGTTTTGATGCCTTCAGTGAGAATCTACCAATGTAAATGGTCATGAAAATAAAGACAACACATTGAATGAGAAGGTGTGTCCAAACTTTTGGCCTGTACTGTATATATATAAATTAATTAAATAAATAAAACATTTGATGAAAGCGATAACTCACTGAATCCAGTGGAGAACTCCTCCAGAGTGAGGTAACCATTGCCATCAGCATCCAAGGTTTCAAAGACGTTCTCCAGCTCATCGCCAGTGAGGGGCAGCTCGCCGTGTAGCCTCTGAAACAGCACAACACGCCTAGCTATGCATGTAGCCTCTGAAACAGCCCAACACGCCTAGCTATGCATGTAGCCTCTGAAACAGCACAACACGCCTGGTGATGCATGTAGCCTCTGAAACAGCCCAACACGCCTGCCGATGCATGTAGCCTCTGAAACAGCCCAACACGCCTGGCTATGCATGTAGCCTCTGAA